GTAAAAGAATCGATTCTTGAGTCGATCTTGAATCGGTTCTTTGAGAATCGATTCACTTAAAAAATCGACTTCAAAGAATCGATCTCACATGAATCGATCTAAAAAAATCGTTGAAATTTTAATATAACAATATTTAATATAACACCGTTTTAAAAAAAAAGTATTGTATATTTCAAAGTTTATAATTGAACAAATATGACATATTATAACTGTTTCGGATTCGACTGAGGTCAGCCGAGGACCGAGTAAAGCGCCGGTTTTGCCTTGCGCAAGGCAGAGGAGTAGTGCGGAGGAAATGAGTAGCCACGAGGTTGGATGGAGATCAAGTCGTATGAGTCACTCAGTTTTTTGTTTGTTGTTAATTAACTTGTCAAGTTGTCGGTTCGCAGCTCGTCCGGTCTCACGTTAGGCGAAAGTCGGAAATCTTCATCGAGCTCTTGTGCCGAGGGCCTTAAGTCGCGCGGCGGAAATCTTGCCGAGAATCGATACGATCCTCAATCGACGGAGATCTTGCCGCGAAACGTCGGAAATCTTGACTGCGCGGCCCTGAGCTCGTTTACGCGCGCGGCTGAGACCGACGGCTTACTCTACAGGACGATGCACAATACACAATTGATTAAAGTTCGAGACCGAACGTCGCGCGAGCGTTCGGACAGCGCAATTGACGGCTATTTTGATTTAACTAAACGACTCTCGGTGGTCCACAATCCATTCGGTTTTGCCCGATCGTGAGCGATGCAAGTCAGCTGTTGAGCAACTGGCGAGTCACTAGAGCCTGGAGCGCATAGCGATACTGATAGAGCGAAAGCTCGAGAATACGCGATCCAGCATAAAGAATCTCGCGGATTCCGATTGCGAGCTGCGATATCCTCAGTGGGATGTGAGCTCAAGAGAACCCGCCGCGAGTTAACAGACCGATTTGTGTGAAAGAAAAAACGAACTTGATTCTCACTGATTCGAGTTTGTAAGAGACGTACAGTCGAAGTGAAGAGCCGCTTTTAGCGTTCGCATTTATACCGATTTTTGAAAGGGCTACGACGCGAGTGGATTGGACCAGCGAAGCAAGGCGAGAAACGGTTTTCGCCGCGAGAGAGAGTCTACATTACCTTATTTAGGCATTAGTCGAATGACACGAGCTTTTCGCGGCGCGAGCCACCCGCCGATTCGCGGAATCCTTGTTTGTGCGATCCGTTGCCATGGCGATCGCTCGGATCCTTACGACGGCAGACGGCTCGCTGGCATCGCGATGCTGGGATCGCACGTGATACGAACGTGCGATCAACATCGAAAGGACAAAGTGAGTCGCTTGTGTGCCGAATTAGAGCATCGAATTATTTCAAATAAATGCTTGCCGCAGCGGTCACCGGTCCCCGCTGACGTGAGGTTAACCGTCAAGTTTGTTCGAATCTCGAACAATAACATATAAAACATTGTTTTTTGGCGAGTTTTTTATTTGTATAGAAAAATAGAAAAATATAATTATGCAACTTCAATCTTCACTCTTACAATTGCCATTCTTTGATCGTCAAAGAATGCAAAAAAAGTAATTGTTGTAGATGCTCTGGAGAAAGTCGATTTTTATCTTCAGTTAAGATATTTCCTGCTTGGGAAAATAACCTTTCAGAAGGTACCGATGTTGCAACCACGGGTAAGTACTTTTTTGCAACTTTGCTAAGTGTTGGATAAATTACCCAGTTGACACAGTTCTGTTACTACTATATAGCAGCTATACATTTCAATATAACATCCTACATAACATGAAAGAAGCTGTTATGATATAGTTATATTACAATTTCGCTAGTTTTTAAAAATAACAATGCTGTTATGGTTATGTTATAAGCACATCACCAAAAGACATAGTTGCTATATACTTATTATATAGCTACTTCAAATACAGCTACAAAGACATAATGGAGCATTTATAGGATGTATATACCTTGTATATAAATGAGATAAAACTGTGATAATAAAACTGTGATATTACACATTTATATTAAAGGGAAAAGAAATCATTGCGATTAAAAATACGTAATAAAAATATTTTATTTTTTCAAATTATATATATTTAAAGAATGTCTTATGTTTCAAAGAGGCGCCTGTATGTAATAAAGTGAGGGGAAATGAGAACAATGGGAATGACTGTCTCCGAAATCAACGAAATTATTTACATTGTTTGTAGACTGATTATTACGACATATTAAATCGAAATTAATAATAACATAAAATTAAAACATTATAAAGAATTCAAAAAAATTGTCCATATATCTTTGGACTTTAAAAATAATAACTTTCTTGAGTTATTATTTTCACTATGATAAATAAAAAAATTATTATGTCATTTATATGAGAGTTTAATCCTTTGGCTACGATTGATCTAGAGCTCAATTCTTGAATCATTCTCAACTATTCGTATGTGTAACTTGCAAGTTATATTCAATAAATGTACTTTTCTTATGGAAAGCTCTATGCTTATTGAATATAATTCGCAAATGACATACATA